TATGCACGCACACACATGCACCAGGAGCGAGTTTGAAGCCTCTGGGTCCAGGACTCAAACGCAGTTGACTATGTGGGAGTCCAGCAACGTAACCATTACACCATCTGCTGGTCCTGAGCTTGTTCTTTAATTGTGCTAAGTTTGGCTCCTGGACGTATTAGGCCCTTTTTTCCTTTCTTTCTTCCCCCTCCATTTCCTTCTCTTTTCCATCCCTCTGTCCTTCACTTCAGGCAGTGCGTGGTGCAGGCATTGTTCCTGCAGCCCCGAGTCCACCGGTAGCAGCCTGTTGAACCCCTAGCCTGCTCTCTGCACATGGCTTAGAGTCGAGAACAGTGGAGAGAAGGTGGACAGGGCCTGTCTCTTGGGGGCCCTCAGCCCATATGTCCTGGACCGTCTGGTGTAGCACGAAGATTTCTGGGGTGTTGACGGCCAGAAGGATTGTGCAAGGTGTAGCGAGGACACTCATGAAACTATGCCTCCATTTCCTAGCCAAGTCCTTTCTGCCAGCTTCTCTATGATAGCTGTTTTCTGTTTTCTGTTTGTTTGTTTTTTTATGTGTTTGTTTGTTTTTATGAGAGAGAGTGAGAGAGAGAGAGAGAAGGAATGAGAGAGCAAGAGCTAGCATGGGAGGAGGCGAAGGGAGAGGCAGGTCTTTCTGACAGGTTTTTGCCATTGTGATCCTCTGCCTCAGCTTCTCAGTGAGGTGTGTGCCACTGCTCCTGGCCTGCTCAGGTTAGTTCTGGATCGGAACCCGGGCCTCCCGTGTGACCCCAGCCTTGAGCTGGGTGCCCCGTTGCTTGAGCTCCCACAGCTAGACTGATAACTGTGATATTTTGATATTGTTAGTATTAAGGAAAAAAAGATTCAGTTTTTTTATACATAGAAGTATAAAAAGGAAACTAAAATAATCCATAACCCCAGTGTTCAAATAATCCCTGTTGAATTTTCTTTTAAGTTCATATATGCACAATTCGAAATTTCAAATGAAGTGAAAAGGTATGCAGTGAGAAATTGTAAGTGTGCTTGTATGGGTGTGCGTACACACCATCCTGCTGCCCTGCGTGTTCGCCAGAGACGAAATGGTAAGACATTCTTACACGTCTCTCTAGAAAAGTCGTGTTTACCCCTTCCCCCTCGCGTGTGTGTGCGGAGCCTTGGAAAAGCTTTGCCTGGACGCGACCTGTCTGTGCACCTCATTCTGCCTTTTTCTCCTGGCGATTTCTGCACCAGCACATTGAGGAATAAAAAGGCCTTGGGCTTTTTAAGGTCTGCGTGGTTTCCCACTCCATAGACAGAGGGCTGTAATTACCTAACCTCTCCCCTGTCAATGGACATTTAGGTTATTTCCAGCTGTTTACTGGATAGTTACATTTTAAAGGTTTGAAATTTCCCCAGTAAGGGTGCCTTCCCTCCTTCTTCCCCAAACACCTGATCATCGAGAAAAGCAGATCCCATTGGAAAGTTTTAAAATTCATTCTTATGGTTTATTTACTCATTTTTAAAAAAGAATTATTTATTTAATTAAATTAATTCATTATTGTTATTATTATTTTTTATTTGCTATAGGGCATGCATACTCATCAGAGAGAGACAGAGAGGGGGAAAGTGAGAAAGAAAGCCACCAGATCTGGGACTCGAACTACAGTTAGACATGTGAGAGTCCAGTGCCCTAATCACCACACCACCTGTTGGCCCTGGTTTATTTATTTTAACTTGCTTCAAGGTGTGTACACTCCCTATAGAGAGACGTGGAGGGAGGATGAGAAAGTGCCCGCCCATGGGGGATGGTCATAATGAAATCCCTTCTCCATTTCTCCCTCCTTTCAAGATCTCAGGCGCACAAATACATGTACCCTGCGTGTTTTTCAAGCCGCAGGGTCCAGGATTCGAACCAAGAAGCCAGCCATGTCTGATTCAGCTGCTTTAACTACCATGCCATGGGCTAGCCTACAGTTTATTATTTATTTATTTATTTATTTTGGCACGGAAATGAAGGTAGCTATATGTTAGATGCTTCCTGTTTCGCCATGCCCTGAAAGAACTTGATCACCAGGGTTTTTGTGGCCAGAATGACTTGCTCTGTTTCAGACAAGGCACCTAAGGGGCAGAGCAGCCTGGAGCCTATGGAGGGGTCAGTGGGGCAGGGGTTCGCACCATGCTGGCCTGAGCGCTCATTGCCCTCAGTTCTGCCCATGGTTCTGTACACCTGAGTCTGTCCAGAGCAGAGGGAGGGCTTTCTCCACCCGTCCATGGGAATTCCTGCTTAGGGGATGTTTTCCTCTGTCTGGTCTTGATTGCTGAGTGGCATGCTCTAAGATGCACTGGGAGTAACTGGTGATGGGAGGGGCGAGTCACTTCATCTCCGGGCCCGGACTTCTGGGTTCGGACCCTTCAGTGGAGGGTGAGGGCGTCCAGGCCTGCACTTCCTGCACAGTGTCCTACGTGGGCTCTGATGGGTCCGGCTGCCACAGTGCACGCTCAGCTCACGCCTGAGCTTTTGAGGGTTGGCGTCTGTGATGCGCTACCTGGGTTTCTTGGATGGGCGGTAGAATCACGTCTCAATCTATCTGTCATTTTTGTGGTTGAATAATCCAAAGTAGGTAAATAAAAATTAATGTTTGGATTTGGATGCTAATTCAGCTTTTAAAATTGGGTTTTGTTTTGAGCTTAATTGAAATTAATCTGTGTTCTTTTGAGTACATTCCACTTATTGGCAACATACGGTAGCCCCAGAATACAATTGGTGGTGGTTGGGTAAATTTAAAAGATGGATAGTCCATATCAAGATAATGGAAAAGTTTATTCTAAAACTTTTTTTTTTTTTTAATGACAAAATGATATCTGAACATCATCCAGACTCAGGAAAGAGAAAAACACTTTAATCAAAATCCTGTCCCGAACAAATCAGTATTTCCCCATTCCTTCCTAGACCTGCTTGATTTGTATATATACGCTCTGAAAGAATGCTAACGTGGGCCTGTGCCCGAGCTCCGTTATTTCAGGAAGAGCTTGGCTTCGAAGTTGGGCACACCTTCAGCTCAGTCGCTGTGTGATGCTGGGCAAGTGACTTAACCTCTCTGAGCCTCTGTTCCTTCTGCGTAAAGTGTGACTGATCATTCCAGATACCGTGACTGTCGTAAGGAGTGAGAATCAGCAGTGTGGGACACGAGGCAAAGGTGACATGGGTCTTTCCAGGGAAAAGCTGCTTTCTTTGGAGTGAACTGATCCTTGACTCAGGGCCGATACTTCCCAGACGCCCCTGCTGAAGTCAGCCAGCATTTGACTACACACAGTACAACGTGCTTGTACTTTTCTGTGATTTATTTTTACCATAGTAAGGCAGCTGGTGGTGTTCTAGTTCCTGTAATGATAAGGACAGGATCTCTGGAAAGTTCACACAAATGCATACTAGGGGGAAAAAGCTATGCATTGGCGTGGTGGCACGGGCCTGTAGTTTTGATTACTTGGGAGGCTCAGGCAGGGGGCTGGGAGTTTGAGGCCAGCCTGGGCAATATAGTAAGATCTGTCTCTCTCTCCTTTTTTTTTTTTTTTTAGAGAGAGATTTTTGTTATAGGGAGCATGCGCTCACCAGAAAGAGAGAAACAGAGAGACAGAAAGCGAGAAATCACCTCCCCCCCCCCCCCCCCCGCCGGGGATGGCCACACTACAATCCTGTCTCTGTTCTTTCAGAATCTTGAGCATGCATGCACATCCACTCAGGGTGAGTTTCAAGCCTCTGGATCTGGGACTCAAACCACGGTCACCCACGTGGGAGTCCAGCGATGTAACCATTTGCCATCTGCTAGTCCCTAGACATGTCTCTTAAAAAAGCAAACAATGTGTGATTTTCAAAAAAATTTTGCACCAAAATAAACTTGTACGTTAATAATATTTTCCATGAACTTTTAAAGTACCCTGTGCGGTTCCTTTTAGAATTAACTTTTAGTTAAGTTAAAAGTTAATAGAGTGTGGTTTGAGTCCCAGCTCTGCCACCTCCTGCTGTATGACCTCGAGAAGTGTCTCTGAGGTTCAGTTTATTCATTCCATTCTACAACGAAGATAACACAGTGCTATCTCATGGGGTTACTGTCAAGTTTAAGTGAGACAGTATAGTCAGAGCCCTTAGAACAAGCATCTGGCATGAAGGATCTGCCACTAAAATGTGAAACAGAAGTGCTTTTCTTTTCTTTTCTTTTTTTTTTTTTGCTATAGGGCGCGTGTGCTCGCCAGAATGACAGAGAGAGACATAGAGACAGAAAGTGAGAAATCACCTCCTGGGGGGCTGGCCACGCCTCAATCCCTTCTCCTCCATTCTCCTCTCCAGATCTTGGGTATGCATGCATGCACATGCGCCCGGTGTGAGTTTAAGCCACCAGGTCTGGGACTCAAACCACGGTAGACTACATGGGAGTCCAGCAACATAGCCGTTACTCCAACTGTTGCTTCCCAGAGTGCTTTTCTTATGTAAACAACTGACATTTGAGAAGCCCAGAACTGGAATGGACAGTGTGGCATTTCTGACTCAGGACAGTGGCAATAGATGGTAGCCACTGTTTTGATTAATCATATTGATGTCTTTTTTTTGTCTTTTTTTTTTTTTAATGTATTGGGTCATTGGCAAAGTCAAGATACGTTTTTCTATGCAAAAAATGCATCATGACTTCTCCCATGACCCAATATTTATTATTATTATTATTATTTTTAAATTTGCTATAGGGCACGTGCACTCGACAGAGAGAGACAGAGAGGAAAGAGAAAGCAAGCCATCCAGGTCTGAGACTCAAACTGTGGTTGGCCATTTGGGAATCCAACAGCTTAACCACCACACCACTTGCTGACTCCTATAATGATGCTGTTAATGATAGTTGTAATACTAAACCAGGCGGTAGCATTTGTTGTTTTGGAAATAATTTCCTAGGGAAGAAACTCTCCAGCAGCTGATAACATCTGGTGAGATTCCACCATTGAAATTTATCTGTCAACGCCTTTGGCATTCCTAGGCCAAGCCCAGCATCCGGTGCTTCATTAAACCCACTGAAACGCTTGAGCGGTCCCTTGAGATGAACAAACACAAGGGCAAGCGGCGGGTGCAAAAGAGACCCAACTACAAAAACGTCGGGGAGGAAGAGGATGAGGAGAAAGGGCCTGCCGAAGATGCCCAGGAAGACCCCGAGAGGGCTAAAGGTACCGAGGGTGGTCTCAAAGGCATCAAGACGAGCGGGGAGAGTGAAGGTGAGTGTACCCGAGAACAGCGCCCTGCCCACGCCGCCAGCCCACGAGCGAGCCTTCTGCATCTGCTCCTCCCTTGCCCGCTCTCCGTGTGCCCCATGGGTGCTTCTGTTCACCCCTGACACTAGCACACCTCCTTCTTCACGGTCCAGCCATCCCAAGGCAGCCGCAGACTGTGTGTCACACGCAGGTCCAGTCCAAGTCCTGCCCTCATTGGACGGTTGACCTGGGGCGAGGTTTTCACTGCTAACCGCGTGCCATGGTTTCCTTACCTGTAAAAAGAGGGTAACAAGTAACATCTACTTTGTGGTGTTCCTATAAAATCTAAATGAGCTAATGGGTGATGCGTTTGCTCAGAACACTGGCCCCTCTTAAATACCGTCTGTTGCTGTCATGACAGTCACTGTGCCGTCATCTTTGGCATACGCTGCCGCTGTCGTTCTTGGTGACCGGGATGATTATTTGTGACAAAAGTAATTATTTCCAGCACGCTGGGAGGGAAGGGTGGCCTGTGTTTAATGAAATTGCAGGCTTTAATAGAGGGGTTTTTAATTGGAATCAAATATAATACTCTAGATTCCTACCTAAGAGCTTTTCAGGGACCAGCAGATGGCATAATGGTCATGTCGCTGGATTCCCACATGGCTCACTGCAGTTCGAGTCCTGGACCCGGTGACTTAAAACACACCATGTGAGTGTGTGCATGCCTAAAATCCCAAGAGGAGAGTGGAGAAGAGATAGTGACGTGGTCAAGCCTCCTCCCCCGGGAGATGATTTCTCACATTAAAAAAAAAAAAGAGTTTTGCAAAGTCTTGTCCGTGTAGAGTGAGGTGTGCTCGTGCAGCCCTCTTCTTGCCCTGGTTGGGAATGTAGAGCTCTTTCACCTCCCTCTCACTTATGCTAAAGCATTCTTGAACTGGAGAGCATTTGCTCTAGTAAGCAAACTTGAACGGTCCAGTTGCTTGTTCTTGGGCGAGGCTCATAGCCACGTGGATGGTGTCTCTGGCTGTGGCCCTGGGTTGGGAAGCTTGGTGCTTGGGGGAAATGGGCAGGGGCTTTGTTTGGGCACCTCTTGGGACAAACACCTGTCCTCAGTAGGCAGCCCAGTTGTGGTCTTCTGGGGGTGTGGGGGACACTTCCTGTGAGCCTTTCTCTTAGGCACACAGTGGCTGCCCTGAAACCATCTCTCCCCACCCCATCTGCAAGGGCCCATGCAAGTCTCCAGCCCAAAGCCTCTGAAGCTAAAAAAAGACCCTGCCACTGAATAGTGGCTGGGAACTCAGTCATTCGCCTCTGGGAATTGCCTGCAGATTTGCGGCCAGAACATGCTCCAGCCCCATCCCCATCCCCATATCCCGTTATGTTCTTGGCAGTCGTCATGTGTATCTGGGAATGCTATGGTCATATTTCAGTGAGTGTAACCCACGTGTCTCTCTGGTGCCACCTGGACCCCTTCGCAAGGCTGAGGCCTCCAGCATGCTGTTATTTCTGTTCAGCGTGTGCACTGAGGGCCAGCAGGTGATGTGATGGTTAAGGTGCTGGATTCCCACATGGTCAACCAAGGTTTGAGTCCCAGACTCGGTGGCTTGCTTTCTCACTCTCCCTCCACCGCCACCCCTGTCTATCTGGCTATCACGTGTGTCCTGTAGCAAATTTTAAAAATAATAAAAATAAATAATTTTTAAAACCACAAAAGCAAACAAACAAAAATAAACCAAAGAACCAAAGTGCGCACTGAGCATTTTGGTTTAGGAACTCTTGTTTGACCTGGGAAACCTTTGCCAACAAGTATCATTCTGGTGGGGAGATGAGAGACAGATATGAGGTAAGCCATGCTCAGTTGCTTATATGGGTCATTTTAATTTGTATTTTTTCCATTAACTCAGAAGAAGATCGTCTGCTTAAGTCCTAGGCGTAGCTAGCTGCTCTAGAGGTAGAACGGACATCCTCACCTCACTTGGTACACTGTGTCCTCACTGCCTTCATATCAGTCCTTCCAGTATGCTCTCCACCCAGGCCTTGGCTGTGACTAACGCTGGTGTGGACAGGGCAGGTCTGGCCCCGAAAGCACAGTCTAGTCCGTCACTGGTGGCCCAGTCCTAGTACACAGGGCTGCAGGCCAGTGGAGCAAGGCTGCTGTTCCAGCTCTAGCTCCTTGGTTGGAGTAGGGGCTCCCTGGACAGGGAGCGAAGGGAGGAATTCTTACCAGCCTCCAAAAGTATTTTCTGGGTAGTTTCTTGACCTAATCGTACCAAGTAGGACCCAGGAATTTCCCTGGACGCTTTGCTTGGACAGTTGGGTGTTGAATTCAGAACTCAGTCAAGCATGGCTCTCAGCAACCTCCCTGGGCAATTTCCGTGCCTTCCTAATTTCTTGAATACGTTAGTCATTCCAAAATTGGAAGATGATGGGCCGGCTATCTTCCCACGCAGCTCACCATAACTAGATGCAGCTTTCTCAGACCCATCCTGCTGGGCAGCAGTTGTATTCTAGAGCTGTCTGAGTCATCTATGTGATCTCTTGGTTTTCCTCCCATTTGAAGGGGCAGTTGGTGGGTATTCTGTCCTTAGACTGCGTCTGTGTTTGGGTATTCATTCCTGTGACTCAGAAGGGCATTGGGCCGTTTCTCATTCATGTCATAAACCAGAGGGGAGCGTAGCCTGGGGGAGGTCCCTGTGAGGGGAGAGATCTGCCTCATGGCCCTGTCTTGGTGTCAAGATTTACTATGTGCCTTATACAGTCTCCTTAAGCTCTGGAACTCATTGTCTCTAACTGGAAATTTCGGTATAATTTATTTAACGACTTTTTTTTTTTTTACATGAAGATACACTGGGACCGTTGTGGTTGGAAGATTTAGAAATCTAACTCAGACCAGCTTAAGCAAAAAGAGCACTTATTGTTTATATTTCTGGGACTGTTGCAATTTGGATGTCTCCCCTAGAACTCATGTGTTGGGACTTGGTTGGTTTAAAGGTGTTAAGTGGAAACTTAATCCCTTCATGATGTCCCAGGGTGGGGGCCTTTGGGTGCAATAAGGGCAGGAGGACAGGGTTCCTGTGATTGAGTGCTGGTGGGTGTGTCAGAGCGGAAAGGAGCCTGGAACAGGCAGAAGTTGAGGGCAACCGCTCTGCTCACGGTCCAGCCCTCTGCCGCACTGTAGCCTCAGCAGAGGGTGCCCCGTACCTTGGACCTCTAAACTGTGAACTGCATAGACTCTGCTTTTTGAACCTCCCAGTTTCAGATACTTGTTTGGAACGCCGTGTTGGATGAGGGGAGGCGTGGGCAGGCAGGGCGCAGTGCAGAGACGATGACTGGAGGCTCTAGGCTCACATCCTGCTTCCACAGCCACCGAGTGGCGAGAGGTCTGTCCCTTCCCAGCTGGGCCATTGTTTGTTGGTACAATGGGCCTGTCTTGGGCCCATTCCCTTCAAGAATGTTCTGGGTCTACAGCCAGGCCTGGGTGATGTGTCTTGACTAGAGTGGCTCCTCAGTAAAAACCAAGGTGTGTTTATCTGAAGCAGGGGGCATGGGTGCTGGGCCAGCAGAGACAGCTAATTGTCCCCCAGAAAGACGCTGTAGTTCTGGGTACTCCCAATCTCTGGGCCACCTTCCCCCTTCCTGTTTTGAGGTGGACATGTGGCTCCTTTTTCTTCTCTAGCAAGCTGCTTCCATTGGCCCCAAGTCTAGAGGCTTGTTGACAGCCTGTGTGTGACAGACACACAAACACATGGGTGATCCTAGTAACGAGATGCCCCCCCCCCCCCCCCCCCCCGCCATATCCTGCCACTCCATTTTAGTTGTGAATTTTTTATGTCTTAATTTTAAAGATGGGGTAAAACACAGGAGTAAGAAAGGCATGTGGTCACGAGGTACCGTTCTGCCATGACCTGATTTGAATGTGGCCTTAAAGTGATTTTGTACAAATGCAGCACCCAAAATTCACACCTCCTCCACATTTCAGCCTAGACGAGGAAGTTGTTTGAAATGAATGTGCACCCCTGACCCATCCACTCCCATCCCCAGTTTGCAAGGAAATTCACTGCGCCTCAGGTCCCAAGTACTGGGCGACTCATCCTGAAACCAAGAAATCACAGGGCCCTAAGTTTGCGGAAAGTGCAGCGAAAGGAAGAAGAGAGACGTGAGCGTCCCAGAGCCCAGGGAGCCAGGCAGCCCAGGGCACACGCTGCTTTCTAGCTCGCCCTTCAGTCTGCAAGGGCAGTCGTCTCTTTGGGGAGTCACTTAAAGCAATAACTTAATAAGCGGATTGTGACAAGACGTGTTTGAAAATCAGACTTGGCTTCTGTTTTTCACCTATGGAAAAAGTAGGCGTTAATTGCACAGCTTGACCTTCAAAGCCTGCCCTTTTTGTAGAATTCCAGGAAAGGCACAGAATAAAGGCAACAGGACCGACTCAACCTGCGGGGTCAGTTGGGAATTGAGGGGTAGCCCTGCGTTTAGAACCCCAGCATTGCTTCTCCCCGCTCAGGTCTCTACTGAAATGAAGTGGCCTCATTTCCAGCTCCTCATGCAAAGCCAAGCCAACCCCAGGCCTGGCCATGTTCTGATTGGAGGGAATCGGAGAGGTGGGGGTCTGTCTGTATCCCAGTCCCGCTCCCGTTCAGCTGTGTGATGCTGGGCAAGTTTTCACCCTCTCTGTGCTTCTCCACCGATGGAGGGGGTTCATAATCCCCAGCCCTCAGTTTGGCGCAATGGGAGCATCAGGGTTTCAGTTAGCGCATGACACGGGAGCACTGAGTAGGAGCTCACTTCCAGTGAGGGGCTTGAAGGGTTTTTGTTTGTTTGTTTTATTTTTTTTTTTTAAGAGGTTTTTACTATAGGGTGTGTGCACTCACCAGTGCGCTCACCAGACAGAGAGAGACAGAGAGACAAAAAGCCAAAAACCACCCCCCCCCCCGGGGGGGGATGGCCACGTCGCAATCCCTTCTCCTGCCTTGTCCTCTCAGAATCTTGGACACGCACGCACATGCGCCTGGCATGAGTTT